GTAGACTAGACATTGTGTTCACAACGATATGATGTGCACAACTCGCATAATAAAATGATAAATCATATTCAATTATAATTTTTCAGATAGCCGCAGGACGTCAACGTAAAACCGACAACTTACACGAAGATACATCGAGAATTGATTTCAATCTCGATGGTAAAAGAGGAGATAGTGTATTTTTGCTTGTAGGTCTTTTTCATCAACATGAGTGATAATGAAATGGCATTTTGTACATACCTAGTTGAGAAATTAACTACGTTGTTTGTCTTGAGTTCGTGTGGATTTATTTCTATTTTTAATTAATTTTAGATCAAGGAAACATTAAACTTCAACATTCATTATGTGTACCTATTTATCAACATCACCACATTTTTATATGGATTCAGTCATCAACAACTTTACATAAAGTGTAGATATCATTTTGAATTATATTTTCATAATGTTTTGTTACAGGGTTTTTGAATTCCCCATGCCCCAACATTTTTTTAATATCCCCTTCACTTTAGTCATGTCCTTTTCCAGAGTAGGTTTTTTTTTTTTCCTCAAATATTGTGGAAGTTTATAAAATCGCAGTGTCAGCATTGAAATATTGGCGAAGGTGCCAGTATAATGAGAAGGATGAGGCCCCCCCAACGTTTAATTTTCCATTGATATAAAAGTAAGTATTTTGTGGAGGAAAAGACAGTGATGTTTTTCTTTTGGAATTGAATTTCAACTCCATCACTTTAAGAGATGGACTACTTCTTCAATTAGAAAGTAATAAAGTGTTTGAGGTCAGACAATGGAACAGAAATAAAGAATGCCGATGCAAAAAGGTTATTTATGGAACTTGGAGATTTCCTCTCAAAAACCCATGCTTATAGACCTGAGCAGAATGGGTAAATTAAAAGAAAAATTAGTATTATTGTGGAGTCAGTTCGGACCGTTATACTTACATGCTCAAAAATTTACAGAAATCTGACTGAAATTTAAACGATTGAAAGTTCATAGAATGAGCCTTTGAAAATCAAACGCAAATCAGTTACGTGATAGAAGATCTAAAAACCACGGACAAAATTTGAGGATCTTTTTGAAACAGAAACATTTCAGTGTCAGATGCAATAGTAAAGGATATATAAATTGGTGAAAAATAGTAATCATTCAAAGAGAGAGCTATTGAAAACAACTTACAGCCAAATGCTCAAAGATTCAATACTACACTTACCCAACCAGAAGTAGCTTAGGTACCAAAGTTCTGGCTCCTGTACCTGTCACACCTGAAAAGGAAAAAAAACAGAATGTTATTTCCTGGAAGGTTGATAAAAGCATGCATGGACTTTTCTAGGACCTGGTGGCATACCTGAAGGGCAGTTGGAGATCATAGCTCTTGAAAAGACTGTCAAAAATTTTAATTTTCTCTTGCATCCTGTATTTTTTAATCAAAGGTTAAAAATAGTAAACATCTAGAGCAGAAGTTACCAAATACCTAACTCCTTAAATACCCATGAAAATTGAATTTATCGGATGGATAAACTTTTAAGTACCTGAACATTTAGTGTTGGAGTAAGAAAATTATACCTTTCTAGACATACATCAGCTTTTGCTCTGTAAATACCAACCAAGGGTTGAAGGTTTTTTAGGCATTGAAGGTAGTGATTTGTGTCCTTCCCAGAGCAAAGGCCAGCTTATAAATTGGCTTGACATATTGATATTGACGGCCCAGAAAACTGCGAAAAATTCCTACCTATGGAATCAAGCCAAACTAAATTGCAACTGCCTAAAAAAAAGAAGACCTGGAAATAAAACTTGAGGAGTCCTATCTTCAGTAGTGGACCCAGGAGGCTGTGTGATGATGATGATGATAATTCCAACCTAAACTAGACAATTCTTCCTTTTCTGGAATAATCTTCCTCAAACAAGAACATTTTAGCTACAATATAGAACCTGATCACTTGACTTTTGATCTGGATATCACAAAAACAATTTGGCCTGGAAAAGTTTCTGAGCATTCAGCTATTTTTATATGGCCCAGTATAGGCTGAATTCACTTGAAACTACAATTGTGCAGTTGACATCCAACAGAAAATCATAATTCAACCATTTCTCGCTGGCATTCGGTAGTGCCCCACTGCTACACTTACCTTATATAGTATATTCGGTGTAACAAATGGGATCCTAACCTATTATGGTGGACGGCCTCCCCAGGGGACACCAAATACCAAAAAGAAATAGTCAAACCATGAATTGTTGTCCTGGATATCAGCGAAAGGCAATTACGATTAGTAAAAAACGTTACAGCCGAATGCTCAAAGTCCAATGCCAGACTTAGCCAGCCAGAAATAGCCTACCAAAGTTCTGGTTCCTGACCTATCACACCTGAAAAAGAAAGAACAGAATGTAATTCCTCTGCATGGTTGATAAAGGCATGCATGGATTTTCCTAGGGCCTGCTGTGGTGTGCCTGAAGGGCAGTTAGGATCATGGCTCATGAAAAAGTCTGTCAAGAATTTGAATTTTCTGTTGGATTAGCTGATAGCTAAGTAATCAAATTTCAATATTGAACTAAGACAATACCTATTTAGACACACAAAGCATCTGATGATACATATAAAACCTCTGTTGATATATGAATTCTCTGTAAATAACAACCAAGAGTTTAGGCATTGAAGGTGGTCATTTGTGCTTTATCCAAACCAGCTGACGAAATCGGCCGGGCATGTTCCTTGATTCAGCGCCGGATAGTCCAGAAAACTGCGAAGCTTATGATGAAATTATGACCTACTCGAAAAGAATCATGACAAACTCGATTAACTAGAATAGAAAAGGGGCACCAAGAAACAATTTGAGGAGCAGTAGATCCAGGACGCTGAATGATGATAAAGATGATATCAACCTATAGACATACTAAAAAATATATTTGCACTGACTCTCTAGAAACTTAAAGCGAATAAGGACCTTTGTCCATTTTAATAATATATGAAAAAGCTTCTACATCCCGATTATTTTCAATTCATTATTAAAAATAGGATAAAAAAATTATTACATTTTAAAGTGCTTTCGAAAAATATGCTAATATGATGGAAATCGCAATACCTATATAGAACATGAAATATACTTCAATACAAAACTTACCGAATGAGAAGTAGCTCACCAACGTCTTGATGGTCCTGTATCACATCTTTATCAAAACTTACTTATAATCAAATTCATCAATCAGCTATTTTATTTTGTAGATAGATTCCTGAGATTCTTTCTCTATTTTGCGTTTAGTTACTTGAAAATCCACTGATATCCGCAGTAAAATAGCTGGTTACAACGTGTGGCGGCGATGTTTTTCTCTAAAAAAATTATATTTATAAGTAAAAATTGGTGCAAGTTAACTTGTCAACCACTAGAATTTAAAGCCACAGGTTGACATGGTCCGAACGACTTTGGATGAGAATTTTGACCAAGTTGCCAGCGAGCCTACTTAAGTCAGGTTATACGGTCCAAGTGAACTTGGACCAAGTAAGTTGGCAGCCATGTCGTTGCTGATGACCTTTCCAAAATGGACTTGGATAGTTGATACGATCCACATACACTTTGGATCCTGTCAACCTAGCTTCATTGACGTTTGAAATTTTATTAGAAAAAATTAAGGGTTTATCATTCAAGAATTGATCAAAAGGAAATAAATAGTTGTTGGTACTCACGAAATTTAATAATCAACTATTGGAAAATTCATTTTCTCACTGAAATTTTTAATTATTTTTTTCACACTTTATTCTTCCTCAACGGTAAATAGTCGACTGCCGATTAAATTAGATAAAGGTATTTTCGGAGTTTATTTACATTACCCGGGACCCTTTCTTTATTACCAACTTCATAACATTTTTTGTTCTATTAGCTTTTTTCAGTGATGAATCATGGATTATCTTCATATCGAAATAAAGAAATCCTTTCATTTGCTTATTTGCTGGAATTGATATTTTTTCCATTGTTTTCCTATACTGAAGAAAAGAGGAAATTTTCTATGGATCAGGTGGTACCTACAATGTGATGAAAATCCTCGAATAATCCAGATAAGTATTTAGAATGATCATTATTTATTCTGGCGACAAAAATTGCCAAAATAACTTGTGCAAAGCATTATCATTATTTTTTTTTATGTAGGTACTTCTTTATACAGCGGTACTGCTATCGATACATCCATTGTAAATTGGATAAATTGAAATCTCCACATAAGAATGATGTTTCAATTATAATTCTGATATATTTTTTCAATTGATGTCACATAGTCTATATACATATCCTCAGTAGAACTGGGTGGCACATAATAATATGTGCATCCAAATAAAATTTAAGGTAAGTACTTACTTTTCCTTATTGTAACTTGTACAAAGATACTTTCAATATTCATGATGTTCGATTCAATTTTTGAGGAAGCAATGGATTTTTTAATAGCTATTAGATAATGATCCACCTTTAACTGTAGCTTTGTTTGTATCGCTATACTTCTATCTGTGCGGTAAATGTTGTAGGTATCCTTGCCTATCAAGTTCATTATCATGCATGTCAGAATTCAAAGATGTCTCGGTAATTAAGACTAGTCTTGATTATAAATAAATAGGTAAATTAAAAACAATAGGAACAATAGAAAAACCCTGGGTGCTGGGTATTCTTCCTTGGCGCCTATCATTCTCATCATCTTCAGAGATGGCAGGAAAAATCTCAACCAGGCAGCGGCAATCTCAACAAAACCACAACAAAATACATACCTATAACAATTCGCGAGGACCGTGGCGTGGCGCAGGGGGGGAATTCGCAGCGGATCCACTTTGCACATTGTTAACATTATCAAAACTCCACGTGACACCATCCATTCACAGTGAGTTTAACCAGCTGAATCCCTGATACCAAACTGTAGAGAGGGTAAAAAGGAGGCGGAGCGCCCAATCCCGCCGTATGCAACAGTCTGCCCGTCAGAGTCAGCAGACAGAACGGTTAGTTTCTTAGCTGACTTCGATAGAGTCGTCACGTTCGGTAGGCTCGCTCTCGAGATTTCGTTCTCGTCGTCGTCGTGTAAAAGTTCGTTAAAGTTCCAAAACAAGTTTTTGTTTGTGATGTTATAACAAACATTTTTCCGTGTAAATGTTTTCACGTAAAAAACACCCCACCGAAATGTATTTTTTAATAGTTAGTGCAATTCTAGTGAGTGTTGGTGCGAGAAGTTTAACCAGTTTTGAATTGGCACCAAAGGGTTGTGAATGGCAAATGCAATCTACTGGCGACCAAGACACTGCTGAAGAACCAGTACTGAATTGCCAAATAAGGACCATAAATAATGCTGAACAAGTTATTGGAAATTTGAGTCAAACTCAAAGCGATCGAGTTACTGTTTTAATGCTTGAATGCAATGATGCTCTATTTTTTGAAAGTAGCTTGGAAACTGCAAAGCATGGCACATTTTTGGCAAGTTTACGTAAACTTAAAGATTTAAAAATTGAAAATTGCAAAATCCGCCACATTCCTGCCTCAGCCATCAGCAATCTAAGACACCTCAAAAAACTATCCCTCCGCTCTCACAATTCTGAATGGTCTGCAATGACTTTAGAGCTCCACGCAGATAGTTTTAGAGGTTTGAGCGAGCTAAAATCCTTAGATCTTGCCGACAATAATATCTGGAATACCCCTCAAGACTTGTTTTGCCCCTTGTATAGTTTAACGCATTTGAACCTAACTTGCAACAAACTACAAGACATTCAAGCCTTGGGCTTTTCAGATTGGGGCAAAGGACCTTTACAACCTGGCAGAGCTTGTGTAAACGGACTTGAAAATTTAGATTTGAGCAATAACGAAATAATTGCATTGCCAGATAATGGATTCAGTGCTTTGAGAAGTCTCGAAGAATTACATTTACAAGATAATGCTATTAGCACTTTGGGCGACAGATCATTTGTTGGACTAACTGCTATGAAAACATTAAATTTGTCCAGTAATTGTTTAGTAGCAATGCCTCCAGAATTATTCCAGTCTTCCAGAGACCTGACTCACTTATATTTGCAGAATAATTCATTAAGCGTTTTAGCTCCAGGATTACTTGAAGGTTTGGATCAATTAAGATGGCTCGATTTATCACATAACGAATTAACTAGTCATTGGGTAAACAGAGACACATTTTCTGGCCTTGTAAGACTTGTTGTCTTGAATTTAGGGCACAATCAATTAAACCGAATAGACAGTGCCTTATTTCACGACCTATACACTCTACAGATATTAAATTTAGAGCACAACCACATAAATGTCATTGCAGAAGGAGCTTTCAGTGAATTGAAAAATCTCCACGCACTCACCTTGAGCAATAACAAAATCGCCCGCATTGAATCCTACCATTTCACAGGAATGTACGCATTGAATCAATTACTTTTGGACCAAAACGAAATTGACTACATTCATCCCAAATCTTTCGAAAACGTGACAAATTTGCAAGACTTGGGACTGAACGGAAATATGCTCGGAGGTATACCTGCAGGTATAGGGCAATTACGCTTTTTAAAAACCCTTGATTTGGGTAAGAACCATATCGAAACCGTTACGAATGGTTCCTTTGAAGGTTTGGACCTTTTATATGGACTTAGGCTGGTAGACAACCATATTGTGAATGTTTCCAGGGATGCTTTTTCAACTTTGCCGTCTTTACAAGTGCTCAATTTGGCGTCTAATAAAATTAAATATGTGGAACAAAGTGCATTCGCAAGTAATCCTACATTGAAAGCCATAAGATTAGATGCCAATGAACTAACTGATATTAGTGGAGTCTTCACAAATCTTCAAAGCTTAGTTTGGCTCAATGTTTCATCCAACAAACTACTCTGGTTCGATTTCAGTCATTTACCAGTAAGTCTCGAATGGCTCGATATGCATGACAACGAAATTCCTGAATTAGGCAACTATTATGACGTAAGAAACAATTTAAAAATTAAAATGCTCGATGTCAGTTTTAATTTAATATCTCAAATCCAAGAAAATTCTGTGCCAGATAGTGTTGAAACTTTATATTTACAAAACAACAAAATCACATCTGTTGCTTCAAATACTTTCACACACAAAAAGAATTTGGAAAAAGTTGTTTTGTATGGCAACAAAATTCGCTACTTGGATTTATCTGCTTTAAATTTAAGTCCTGTGAGTGACGATAAAGATTTGCCGCAATTTTATATTGGAGGAAATCCATTTTATTGTGACTGTAAAATGGAATGGCTTCTAAGAATAAATCACTTGAGTAATTTAAGACAATATCCTCAAGTTTTGGATTTAGATGATATCACTTGTGAGCTGGCCCATGCCAGAGGCTCGCCTCCACAACCTCTGTTAAAACTTAAACCATCAAACTTTTTATGTCCATATCAAACCCATTGTTTTGCAGTATGTCATTGTTGTGACTATGAAGCTTGTGATTGCAAAATGACCTGTCCCGATAGATGTACTTGTTATCATGATCATACATGGTCTTCAAATGTGGTTGATTGCAGCAATGCCGGTTATACAGACGTTCCTGACAGAATCCCAATGGACGCCACTGAGATTTATTTGGACGGTAATGACTTAAAGGACTTGGGCAGTCATGTTTTTCTTGGCAAGAAAAAATTGGAAGTGTTATTTTTAAACAATAGCAACGTTAAAACAGTGCATAATAGGACATTTATCGGCGTGAAATCTCTAAAAGTGTTACATCTCGAGGACAATAAACTAGCAGAAATTCGCGGTTTCGAATTCGACCAATTAGAAAACATTAATGAACTATATTTAGATCATAATAATATCGGTTTCGTCGGTAATCAGACTTTTAATAATATGCATAATCTCGAAGTGCTAAAGTTAGACGACAACAAAATAGTAAATTTACCACCCTGGCAGTTTCAGGCTGAAGCTAGAGCCTCGGCTCCGCGCGTATCTTTGGACGGCAACAAGTGGTCCTGCGATTGTGCGTCTTTGAGCCGGCTTAATTCTTGGATTAGATCGTCTGGGGGCGACCCTTCGAAAATGCTTTGTACAGACTCTGACGAAACGGTGGCCGATTCGTTGAATAAGTGCGAGGACTTACACAATGCTATAGCAACGTCCGTAGTGCAACGCGAATTGATTCGAGAAAATCATCTTTTGGGTAGTAGCTATGTTCCCTTATTAGCAGCTACCTTAGTGTCGGTTATTGTTGTCTGCTTACTTGTTGCCATCATGTTCGTTTTTCGGCAAGAAGTTCGTCTTTGGGCTCATTCCAAGTACGGTGTGAGAATTTTTCAAGATTTACATGACAGTACTGATGATAGAGACCATATGTATGACTGTTATATGGTTTATAGTCACAAAGATGAAGAGCTTGCATCCAGAATCATTGCACCTGAACTGGAAGCTTTTGGTCACACTCTATGCCTGCACTATAGGGACTTACATTTGCTCAATGGTGCCTCATATTTGTCTGATGCTATGGTCGGAGCAGCAGATAATTCCAGAAGAATTGTTTTGGTGGTTTCTCCAGCTCTTATTTGCACTGAATGGTCCAAGCCAGAATTTAGAGCTGCGCTTCAAGCTGCTCTACGCACAACTTTCAATCATAAGCTTGTGTGTATCTTGAGTGGCGATCCTCTAGAGCCCATGGATCCAGAACTAAGAGCGCTTTTGAGAGCTTGCACGGTTACTAGATGGGGAGAGCGCAGATTTTGGGAGAAATTGCGTTACGCTATGCCAGATGTTATTAACAGTGCCACTACAAGACGTAAAAAGCAACATCACCTTCCCGAAATCCGTTGCAAAACTAATGCCAGGTATACCAACACTCCTCATAGTGATACTTGGTACAAGTATCAACCAATGCCAGGAGTTCATGCCACCACCTTGACTCCCACGCCCACCCAAAGCACTTACGTATCTGGAGGTGAGTCGAATAGAAGTACTGAAGATGAAGGTTCCAGTGCCAGCTCACAGCACTATGGTTCCGAACAACTTAACCATAGCTACATTTCGATTGATGGGGCTAGACCACCACAGTACTCCCAGTATCCGAATTGTAGAAGCGAGATACCCCATCACGTTTATTCTACAATTCCAGATGCTCCACCTCAGTCTAGGACGTATTTTGTTTGAGTAAATTTTCAACTTTTGTGATAATCTTGATTCTTTTTTTGCAGCAACCAATTTGGAATTATTGGATTTTGTTTAAATTATTTCAGATAACCTCTGGTTGAAATACAAAAATGTTATGTCATTGTATTACAATATTTTGTTTATATATGAATTTATGTGCTGTAAAACTAAAGAATCGTGGAATCATTCACAGTATTTAATTGTGAAATAAACTAATTTTTAAAAAGGCTGTTTTTACTTATAATATTGCTAAATTTTATATTTAAGAAATAAAAAAATAAATATAAAATGTGAATTTACTAATGTACTTCTATGTCGCTAAACTGTGTATTACTATGTAATATTTATTATTGTACATATTATATTATGTAAATATTTAAATTATAAAAATTTATTTATATGAAAATACAAGAGAGTATATTATGCACTCGTTCCATAAAATATATTTGTTAACTGTTTTGAAAAAAATATTCTTGTTAATTAAATCTGTTAGGTAACATAAGTATTTTTCTCAAAATCGTTTGGTATATACCTACTTATTCTAATTTTTAAACGCTTATTAGTCATTAGTTTTTAAGTGAAATATTGTATATACTTAACACACAATTTTACTGATTAAAGACTGTTGAATATTGTACATTAATATTTACTTTACTTTAATGAATAAAAGACAATTTTTTAAAATTATTTTTTTTTGTGTTATTTCCTTGTTTGCAATTAGGTACAAAAAATAATATAAACAATTAAATTTTGGAAAAAAACATTTTCAGGTTCAACTTGACCACCTTTCAACAACATTTTCTTAAGCAACTCGACTAAAAAGTAGGTACCTAGTTTTTAGGGTCAGAAAAAACAATCTAAAATTTTTTCCTTTTCATTTTTCATGAATACTTTATTAGTCAAAATTATGTGAAAGCATCCCACCTTTTCACTGGAACTTTCGAAAATTTCTTTCAAAAAGGGCCTTTCTCTCCCAGGGAAGAGAGTGACTTTAAATTTTTTATTATTTGTTGGCCCTTTAATATAATAGGATCAAAAAATATAGGTACAAGACCCTTCGGGATCTCGTTTTTGTTGTGTATACTCTCACACTAGCAAGAGGGCGATCTGTATCAAAAGAGTATTTAAAAGATTTTATACCTGAGGTGGTCTGAATTCTTTCAGTGAAGACTTTTAGCTCTCGAGTCTATAAAAAGAAAATTAAATTAAGTATGCTTGTGTGGTAGAAGAGGAGCTTTAAATTATGTTTGGAAATGAAGTGCTACTCCGAAGTGAAGAATTTTTTGAAATTAATTAACAGGTAGCCTTCAAGTTGATTTTTAAGCAAAAAAAAAACATTTCATTTTAATGGACAAGAATGTTTAAACTAAAACGATTTGAATGTACAGAGTGTTTTTTTATATATTGATACCCCACCTACAGCCTTTACTTTTACAGGTAGATAGAAGGTGTAAATACAAAAGTTGTACAGTATTAGCTAAATTTTCAGAATCCATGGTCAGAAACAAAAATTGAATGTCAGAAATGTAAAATATTGCAAGCTTCCAGTTTTTTTCAAATGGGATGCGCTATATTTGGTTGTATATTCTTGAAAAGCACAATTCCCCGATTCCAAAACTATATAGTTTGTCTATATTTGGTTGAGCCGTCTCCAACATATTTGGTTCTAAAAATTTTTATTTACGACTAATGTATAATGTGCATATTATATTTGTGATTTTGGCAGTATAATGACATATGTTATTCCTCCAGGGATTAATGACGAGTAGCGGGATTAATGGTCATTATTCCACAAAAGTGTCAGTGTCAAACGTGTAGTGCTTGTGGATTTGTATTGAAAATTATGAGACGGATGAAACTTGTTCATTGAAATTCTCAAATAAATTAATTTGTCGTAAATAAAGTAGAGTATACTACTCGCAATAATGGCTATTATTCAGTCGGAATGTTACTCCCTCGCCGCTAACGCGGCTCAGTTCGTAATAATCCTCGGGAATAATAGCTATCATTATTGACTCGTGGTATAATTTACTATAAAAATACTATCAGAGAAACCAAGTAGGTACCTCAAAATTTACCTGCAGCTTTCACCTCTACAGGTAGAATGGTTCACAAAATCAGTAGAAAGATAGTATTTTTACAATTTTTCGAGCCGATTATATGAGAGATTGCTCAATCGAATATAGAACGGGGCATTGTGCTCTTCAAGAATATAGAACCAAATATAGGGCATCCCATTTGAAAAAAGCTGGATGCATGCAAAATTTCACATTTCTGACATTCAAATTTTGTTTCTGACCATGGTTTCTAAAAATTCAGCCAAAATTATTATTGCGGAACTTATGGGTGGATTTCTGCGGGACGAGCGCAACGAGTTCCGCAGCCATCTACTCACCGATATACTGTTGAACAAATAAGACACTCACCTGAAACGTGTAGTTTTTGAACTAATGAGAAAAATTCACGACTTGGTGAAACAGGTTAGTATTGTACTTGAACAACATATTGGTGAATAGATGGCTGGATCCACCCATAAGTTCCGCAACAATCCAGTCGTTTGTACTTGAATAACTTGTCACAATATATTACCAGTTTGGTAAAATAACATTACCAATTCCTGTTAAAAGGCGAATTGACAAAAAACGATAAACTTACAAATTTTGACTTTATATAATAAGTTATTGTTCAAGTACAAATAAGTGGATTGTTGCGGAACTTATGGGTGGACCTCTGCGGGACGAACGGAACGAGTTCCGCAGCCATCTACTCACCAATATATACTATTGAACTGTTCTGTTCAAGCAAGACATTCACCTGAAACGTGTAGTTTTTAAACTAATGAGAATAACTCACATTTGAGTGAAAATAGTGACGTCGTGCCATTTTTTTTCTACTTTTACCAAAAAACCCTCTATATTTTTCTATTTTTTGACCATCCTGTACATGGTATTTCAAGTTTTAATAGTTAAATACTATTTTTTCAAGAAGCAGAAACTTTTATAAAGAATAACTTTTTTTTCGTAAAATTGATAATAAAAAAGTTTCCTACATGCTGCGAACTTGGAGTGGACATGCACACTGCATGGACATGCACACTGCATATACAGTGTGTCCCACTTTTCATGAATACACCTCGATATCTCAGTTATTAATAATGCGATTTCATTCAAATTTTGGTAGTGATGGTAGGTATGTTACAAAAATTAACTATTTGACATAGTTAACATATTGGTGAATAGATGGCTGGATCCACCCATAAGTTCCGCAACAATCCAGTCGTTTGTACTTGAATAACTTGTCACAATATATTACCAGTTTGGTAAAATAACATTACCAATTCCTGTTAAAAGGCGAATTGACAAAAAACGATAATCTTACAAATTTTGACTTTATATAATAAGTTATTGTTCAAGTACAAATAAGTGGATTGTTGCGGAACTTATGGGTGGACCTCTGCGGGACGAACGGAACGAGTTCCGCAGCCATCTACTCACCAATATATACTATTGAACTGTTCTGTTCAAGTAAGACATTCACCTGACACGTGTAGTTTTTAAACTAATGAGAATAACTCACATTTGAGTGAAACAGGTTAGTATCGTAATTAAATAACATATTGATGAATAAATGGCTGCGGAACTCGCTGCGCTCGTCCCGCAGAGGTCCACCCATAAGTTCCGCAACAATTCACTCATTTGTACTTGAATAACTTGTCACAATATAATACCAGTTTGGTAAAGTAACATTACTATTTCCTGTTAAAAGGCGAATTGACAAAAAGTGGATAATCTTACAAATTTTGACTTTATATAAGTTATTGTTCAAGTACAAATAAGTGGATTATTGCGGAACTTATGGGTGGACCTCTGTGGGACGAGCGCAGCGAGTTCCGCAGCCATCTACTCACCAATATACTGTTAAACTTTTCAAATAAGACACCCACCTGAAACGTGTAGTTTTTGAACTAATGAAAATAACTGACTCTCTCATAAGTGATCGAATGGGTGACAACGGGTTCTTATAGATCTTCGTATAGATTCATCTGAAAAACAATAAGATCGATGACAATTCTGATGACGATATCTTTCGTTTGACAAAAAGCTAGTCCAGGTTCTACTACCTCCAATAGCCATCAATTTATCCCTTGTACAACCAAAATGGGACACTCTGTACCTAACGAATCTATAAAAATCTTCCTCTTTTTTACCTAAATACCTATTTGCGGAATCCTCTATAATTCCCCCATTGAATTAACAATCGGTCCACTTTTTATCTGTTCTATTTCCGGGAAAAAAAGATTTACAGGCCATATACAAAGGTCGCTTTTATTGTTTTTGATTATTGACGGTGTGCAATTTGAAAATTCGTTTCGAAAATTACAGGCCATAAACCTTTTTGCTCCCGTTCAACTTTTGGTTCAATTAGCGGCAGAGAGGGAAATTGGAAAAAGCCGGGAAGTTTATTTTTACACAATTATGTAAATTTTCGTAGTAATCAATAATACAGGTTTGTTTAGCTAGTTTTCAATTTGATTGCATTTTTTGTTTGACTTTTACTTTCAACTATTAAGATGACCAGTTTGTACAAATAATTTTTCCCAAAAATCAAGTTTTTTTTTCTTTACACAGAAATCATCTATCAAACTCTAGTTAGACACAAAAATATTTATTATGACAATTTGTCTTGATGTTTCTTTTATATCCTCTTATAAGTCAGGATTTATCGATATTATGGCCGAAAAGTCGGTGGTGCGAGGGTTGGTAAAATCATTATTCGCCCCCCAGAAGTTTCCTGAATGGATATATCAGATAACGGAAGTGGGAAATTAGATACAGGGGAAAAGGAAAGGGGAAACAAGCCGTTTGTTTTAGTGTATAATAGGATTTATTATTATACAGTGTGTTCACTTAAGTTCGCAGGATATGGGAAATTTTTTTATTAATAATTTTGCGAAGGAAAGTAATTTTTTTATAAAAGTTTTTGCTTCTTGAAAAAATAATATTAAACTATTAAAGTTTGAAATGGCATGTGTTAGGGTGGTCAAAAAATAGAAAAATATACAGCGTGTTTCCTAAGTACAGTTCGTAACTTCAGGATGTGATTCCTTACAATATTTTAAGAAAAAAAGTTCCCATAAGCATGTATCCGGAAATGCGTAGTTTCTGAGTTACAGGGTGTAGAAAAAATCGTTTTTTTAGCTCAAAAAACCCTTTTCCATTTTTTTTTTCTTCAAATTTGGCAGGTTTGTTTGTGATAACGAAAGGTATCTTTTGACTGTAATATGACTTGCCTAATCTGAAAAAAATATCAAAGGTTTAAAAAAATAGTGACGTCGTGCCATTTTTTTTCTACTTTTACCAAAAAACCCTCTATATTTTTCTATTTTTTGACCATCCTGTACATGGTATTTCAAGTTTTAATAGTTAAATACTATT